TAGCATTAAAATCATTTTTCTTTCTCTCAAAAAATGTATTTACATATGGAGATTAATTGTTAATCATGCTATGTTCAGAGTTGACGTTAATCGTTAATCCTGGGTCAGTGGAGACCTAGTTCATTTACAATCTATAGGCTCAATTTTGTACTCTCCATGGGCCTCAAAAAAGATTAGCATTAAAATCATTTTTCTTTCTCTCAAAAAATGTATTTACATATGGAGATTAATTGTTAATCATGCTATGTTCAGAGTTGACGTTAATCGTTAATCCTGGGTCAGTGGAGACCTAGTTCATTTACAATCTATAGGCTCAATTTTGTACTCTCCATGGGCCTCAAAAAAGATTAGCAGGCCGGCCCAGTGGATTATTTCGTGTAAAATCAAATTCTAATATGCCTTAATTGCACTTAAATACTTAAATGCCTTATAGTGTCCCCGACCTTGCACTTAAGTGACATTTTTTTGCAAACCAAATAAAAAAATGTCCCAAAGTATATAGGCGGTGCAGATAAATTCCCCAAGATTTTAAAATGTTGCACGTTGGTACCCTCTTGTTTACCCAAAGTTGCATGTAAATATCCTAAAGTTTATAAATGGCGTCACTTAAATACCCCCAAAGTTTCTAAGAGTTTCACTTTAGTACCCTCAATTATATGGCATAGAGAAAAGATAATGTCATTTGAGTTTTTTTTTTTAACTATAGGGCATTTATCTACAACACTTTAAATACTTTAGGGCATTTTTTGTGCAGATAAATTCCACCTTCATTTCACTGATTCCAACCGCCCAAAATAAGAATGGTAATTAGAACAATGATCTAAATCAAATAGTCCCCAGTTGTTTTGACAAATCGAAAATAGAAAAAAAACCCTAAAACGAATTGACAATTTCGACCTAATCAAATCCATGATTGAAAATCTCACCTTAATCTCCCTCATCCATGGATTCTCAATGAGAGATTCCAGCTTGTTGAGGATACAAAACCACAAGATGAAGAGGCACGAGAAAGCGAGAGTCGATGAAAGACTGTGAGATTGCGAGAGTAGAGATGGCGAGTGAGAGGAGAAAGAGAGAGAGAACGAAGAGAACGAAGAAAGGGATTAGGGTTTGCCTTAGAGGGGTATTAGGGTTTTAGTAAGATGAGGACGAGAGAGAGAACGGGATAGTGAGGGTCTTCACTCGGGCGGGTTTATGGGTGGGCCCATTAAGTGCCCATTTATCGTCTTTTAAATGGATATCCGCTCATTTAGACCCGTTTGGACTGTCCAAGGTCTCTTTAACCTTTTGACATTTACCTCTCATGAGTAGTTAATATTCACACTACAAACAAATGAATATAACCTGAAAATAACTTTTTTTATTATGCAATAAGAAATGTATATACCCAAATTCTCATTCATACATGCATACTATCAAGTAGGCAAACATAAAGGACCTTTAAAGTCCCATCTTTGCCCATCTTTTTCAAAGCATAGCACCATGGGATGAGAAGCTGGGCATGCTGAGGAATTAATAAGAGCAAGTCATCACTATTCTTTTGGTAGTTTGGACTGTAGACACTCTCCCTCAACTTGAGCAGTGGCTGCAGTCTTAAATCATATATCTTTCACCAACTACCCTTTACCAGCTTCAACATGAAGAAATAGTACTTTAAGACAAGAGAACCAGGTCAAAGTCTTCACACATATATACTTATCTAATGAATAAATATAGTTTTCCCTCAACTCAGCCATTAATCATGTCAAATTGTCTTAACTAACTGAAAAATTAGTACCTTGTGCTTGTTTCGTAGGCTGCTTCTGAAAATTAAAAATACGAAAAGAACAATATATGGTACAAAAAGAATCACTAGATCATAGACTCCCCAAAATTCAACAGATCACAAATTGGGCAATAAATGAGCATGAATGAAACCTTAGAAAGAGGAATAGATTATCTATGATCAAATTAATTTACATGAAAGCCAATGATCAACTCTGGAAACGTAACATTTGAGCTTGAATCAAATTAATTTAAAGAAACTTGAGCAAAATGAAAGAAACCTAATTTTGATGAAGCTTAGAGAGAGAAAGAGAGAACTAACAGAGAGGATCGAGCTCGCCGTTTGTCGCCGCTCGTCGCTCGCCGTCACTCGTCGTCACTTTTGATGAAACGACGCCGCTCGCCGTCACCTCTCGCCTATCGCCGCCGCTCGCTCCTCGCTGCCGCTCGCCGCCGCTCGCCGCTCGCCGCCGCACGCAGATGGGAAATCTAGGGTTTCGTTTATGAGAGACGAAGAGAGGACGGGTTGCTAGACAAAACAACGTGACGGCCCGAATTTTCAATCGCGGTGTTTATGAGAGACGAAGAGAGGACGGGTGAGCTCTTTATCTTACACGGGTCAACCCTAACTTACCCATTTAATAAACAGGTCAGTTTGGGTTGAGCCGTTTATGACCCGACCCATATAACTTGACTTATACTTAATATAAACGGGTCAGGTCTAATCGGGTTAATGGGTCGGGTTAAAAACTGCCACCCCTACCTCCAACATCAGTCAGCACTATGACATGGTTGCATACGTGTGCATCTCTCTCCTTCAAGCGCAAGGATTTATATTTATGACTGTTCTCTTTAGAATGTTGAATAGATTAAGTCCAAGTTTTTCTTATTTATTTATTTGAATTGACAATTGTTTAGTTAACATTCCTATATCTGGCGGTTCAGACAAAAGCTGGAATAAACATAAGAAGAAAAACAGAACAAACCATTTAGAAGAAGATGAGATGATAATATTAAAGTAAACTTTGGTTGGTAGAACGGAAAAAAAATAAAAATAAAAACAGAATACATAATTGCTTAATTACTGTTAATGTTCACGTAGCAGTCATCAACATGACATGGGTGCATACATACGCAATGGCAGATCCATCCTACGGGAGGTGGTATCAGTCACGTGACACCACTTCCCTAATTAAGGGCATGTTTGGATTCGTAGGAGGTGAAAGGAAGTTAAGGAAAGCTGAGTGAAGGGAAGAGAAGGGAAGGGAAGGGAATTCCCTTCCCCTTGGTTACACCCCAATTTGGGGGTAACAATTTTTATACTATTAGGGGGTGAACCAATGTGAATGGAGGTGAATTAACTTCACCTCCTAAGTGTTCCCAAACAAGGTGAATGGAGGTGAATGGTTCCCCTAACTTCCCTTCACCCTCATTCCCCTCAATCCAAACAAGCCCCAAGGGCTCCTTGTTACACATTCATATCTCTCAATTCTTATAAACGAACCATGTTCTCAAATTTACCCAACTTAGGCTTAAATAGGGGAAATTCAACTAAACCATGATAACGCAAGTCCCATGGGCATGTATCTTGAACTAATTAACAGAATTATTAGCCCATCCAGTTTATATTCTTGGGGCTTAATTGCACTTAAACACCCTATAGCTTATCCTACATTGCATTTATATACCCTCACTTAATTTTGCTAGCACTTGTATACTATAAAGATTTTAAAACTTCCAATTATATACCCTCACTTATTTTTTACAGTAATTATATACCCTAAAGTTTTTTTAAACTTGCACGTAGACACTCTGAAGTTTTCTAAAGTGGCACTTAGATTACTAAAGTTTTTAAAAATCACACTTAAATACTCTCAAGTCCGCATTAATAGGGTATTTAAGTGCAAGTTTAAAAAACTTTCTATCTAAGTGGCAATTTTATAAACTTTAGGTGTTTAAATGCTAAGTGTTAAAAAACTCAGTGCCAATTTTAATAAAATTAGTGTAAACTATCGCGTATCTAAGTGCAATTAAACCTATTCGTAAAATAACTTATACTTTCACCCTTTGTTAATGAATGTTGTCTAAGATTTTTCTACCCCATATGCATAAGTTAGAGCTCCCGCTCGACACATAATCAAGTAACCTACGAGTAAAGGTTTCTATTGCGCTTATCTATTTGATAGTGTTACTAATTATATATATGATAATATTACTAATGATGCGAATTATGTGATTATGTAATTTTTTTTTCAAAATATAAAAACTCATCAGGACAATAATAATTATTAATTATATAGTGATACTATTTATTAGAAATCCTGAATTTGCCACTACACGTATGCATATTTCTTCTCCGGGACCAAGTATAGATTTGTTGTTAAACCATCATTAATTACTCGCTAATCAAATATATAATTTGTTATTGGCGGTTAATCCTGTCTAGTTGATACTTCAATATCGGCCTCAGTACTAGGAAACAACGAACATATAATAAAGAGAAAACAAGACCATTTAAAACTAGGAAAAGTATAATGTGTATGTACTTAGGTAGCTCAATTATAAACTAAATCAAGCTATACGCGGTAGCGTAAAAAATATATATATATATATAAAGTCAAGTAGCGACTCTGGTGAATTCATAATAATGCATTAGCAACTACTAACATGCATTGATTTCTCAAAAAAGTACAAAGTAAAAAAATAATAAAACACGTAGTAGGTTCGGTAGTTTCAAAGGAATAAGAGAATCCTAAAACCAATCGTACAATATGTACGCTTGTATATGTTAAATATATCGATACATAGGCACTGTTTGGCAAGCAAAAAAAATGTCTTATCTAAGAGCTTGTGTCTTATTGACTTTGTCAATAAGCTAGTAGAGCTGTTTGGTGACCAAAAATAGGAGAAGATTATTTTGGAGATTGTGTCTTTTTAGGACCGATCCTGAGCATTTGGGGGCCCCTAGGCAAAAACTTGAACAAAAATCCTAAAGGGGCCCTCCTATATTCAAGATTTTTTTTAAAAATAAAGTGTTGTACTCATGTAACTTTAGGGCTGCCTATATACCAAGGGATGCTATAACTAATTCTAAGGATCAAACACAATATAGTTCTCCTAAGCTACCCACCTTGGCCAAAGGCCTACAAATCACACCCTAACACTCTCATTCCCAAAACAAGAGCAATGAACCGTATCACTTTATAAAGCCTCTTCTTGCATTTTTAGATGCAAAATCATTAATTACACTTGTATAATCAAGCTTCTCCACTATATTTTTCTCAATTGACAATATAGCTAAGTCATTCAATCTTTCTTGTGACATAGTTGATCGAAGGTAAGATTTGATCAATTTTAACTTTGAAAAGCTTCTTTCAAAGACATATAGTAAAAACAAAGTATTTGGCATACACTTCAAGATCCAATCATCATAAGATAAATCAAAATAGAACAAATACATATAGTAAAGCAGCTTAATTTGAAATGCACTTAGGATGCACTGTATAAAGCACAACGCATGAATGGAAATTAGCATACAGTTCTGCAGAGATAGATTAAAAAATATAACAGAAAGTCAACACATGCATAGCAGTTAATTTGCCCATTGTCCCGCTACAGTTGGAGCTTATAATCACACATAAAAAAGTTATAATGTGCAAGCAGCATTAAAAACAGTGTCATGTTTATAATGTGCAAGCAGCATTAAAAACAGTGTCATGTGCATAATAAAGCACGATGAAAGTTATATACCATCAAAAAATTAGCATACTGTCTGCAGATAAATTATGAAGAAACAATGCAATCATTTGATGATAGTGGAGCCCTTGTTTTTTGGGGCCCTAGGCGAAGGCCTCTCCGGCCTACCCCTAGGGTCGGCCCTGTGTCTTTTGCAAGTAGCTTTTGGAAAGCTACCTCAAGTAGCGATTGTCTTTAAGAAGGAGTTGCCAATTTTATTCTTTTGTTTTTGCCCCTAATAATTCTAATTTTATATCAATAATATTGCATGTTTTTTTAGTCATTTAACAAATTTAAGCTACTTGTACAACTACTTTTGCCAAACAGCTCTAGGCACTGTTTGGCAACCAAAAAAGTGTCTTATCTAAGAGCTTGTGTCTTATTGACTTGGTCAATAAGCTAGTAGAGCTGTTTGGTAACCAAAAATAGGAGGGGATTATTTTGGAGATTGTGTCTTTTGCAAGTAGCTTTTGGAAAGCTATCTCAAGTAGCGTTTGTCTTTGGGAAGGAGCTGTCAAATTTTTTCTTCCGTTTTTGCCCCTAATAATTTTAATTTTATATTAATAATATTGCATGATCTTTTTAGTCATTTAACAAATTTAAGCTAGTTGTACAGCTTCTTTTGCCAAACAGCTCTAGTCAATCAGCTAGCTACACAGCTATCAGCTTTCAGCTATAATTTCACAGCTTTCAGCTAGCTTGACAGCTTTCAGCTATAATCTCGCAGCTTTCAGCTAGTTTTGCCAAACAGAGCCTAGTCAATCAGCTAGCTACACAGCTAACAGCTTTCAGCTATAATTTCACAGCTTTCAGCTAGCTTAACAGCTTTCAGCTATAATCTCATAGCTTTCAGCTAGTTTTGCCAAACAAAGCCATAATCTCTTCGTGTTCTGTCTTCATACGACGCATAATCATGTATTATATATGCAACGTATTTTTTCCTCTGCTGCTTCTCCATTTTCTATCTTTAATGGGATTTTTTCATGTTATTTCAATTTGTATAACTATATGTAGTTATGCTCATATGAAATATACATCAACTCGTATTTTATTCCTAACTGTACAATATCATAAAACTGTTAAGTATGGAATTATGATCAAATTATGCTGTGATAGATACTATAACTTTTGATATGAACAACAGTACGTCTTTCTTGTACAAAGAGGACATTACATCGCAATCTTAAACCAAAGAATTCACGTAATCTAAATGCTTAATCATTGAACAATATGGACAAATTTTCAAAAGCAACCGTTTTACACATTTAATTGCAAAAACCGACTCATTTTCATAATAATTGCAAAAACCGACCTGTTTTCAGCCCAGCGCTGAAAACAGGTCGGTTTTTGTAAAAAAATCTCCGAAACATCACGGGAATTCAACTCCCGTGAAGTTTATGGAGAAATTAAACTTCACGGGAGTTCAACTCCCGTGAAGCTTAACTTCTGCTTAAAACTCCACGGGAGTTGAACTCCCGTGGAGTTACAGTCAGCAATTCCAGAGAATCGAGTCTCTGGCAAATTGTGACTGCAACTTCACGGGAGTTCAACTCCCGTGAAGTTGCAGTCACAATTTGCCAGAGATCGAGTCTCTGGAATTGTTGACTGTAACTCCACGGGAGTTCAACTCCCGTGAAAGTTGCAAGTCACATCCAACAGCGTGCACGGAACTGCTTGGCAGGTGTTTTGTATATTTACCTGTACTCATGATATATGTCAATTTATTTGCAACAACAAATATATACATGATTCAACAATGAATTATAAGCTCATATATATGCAATATTATTTGCAAACAACAATATAATACATGATTCAAGCCATGAATTAAAACACGACGAGATTGTATAGTGAAACAACAATTTATCTTCAAAGAGTGTACGTATTTAAAAATTCAGCGAAGTTAGCAATTTATCAATAAGTACATTGATATACACACCGCAATCATCACGCTCCGCCTCCTTCCTCTCCCTCTCGTCCCTCCTCCTCGCTCTTCCCCGCCCGCCTGGGTTCTGCTGATGAGCGCAACTATCTAGTATCTCGGTGCTGTGTATGAAGCTTGGCGAAGTGCCGGCTCCATCGGCATGCGAAGTGCCGGCGTCATCATCACGCGGCCGTCGACGTCGAGCGTACGCCCGTCCAAATGAGCGAGACCTGTCCTCACGGCCTGCGAACTCGTCGACGTGAGTCTTATGGAACACCTGCGCTATGCTCTTCTTGATCCTGCTGAGGAGACCTAACGCCACCTGATCCTGAATCTCAGTCACGTGCGCATCAATATCAGCATCAATGCTATCTAAAACACGGACCTGCGTGGTAAACAATTTATTAAGTATCAACTCAATAAAAAATATTATAATTTAGCTTAGAAACTTACGTAATCTCTCTCGTTCATCCCACTAGGGATGTAACTATCTGTCGGTGGGCGTGGCATGTGTCCAGCTAAAGGCTGTGGGTCACGCGTGATCCATCTACGTGTGATACCCCAATACCAACGCATATACGTGGTATAGTCAACAGCTGTGGGCCTCGTATCCTGTATGCAATCCCACCTCTGAACCCACCTGCCTATGTAGTCCGCACGGACTACGGCCCAGTCAGTCCGGTGCGATGTAGGGCGCCGCCGACGATTGATCTGCTCGACAGGATCTGGAATATGCTGAGAGAGTGTAAACTGCCGTAGCACACGGTCCGGTACATGCATCTCTACGATCTCCCAACAGATCAATGGAACTCTGGCTCTCCACAAGCCGGGACTATCTCGGCAGATAGGTGCAAGAGAATGTATATCGAGCTCCGGCGGTGTATAGGGTCTCCACTTGAACTGAAATAAAATAAAACATTTATCAGTATCATACAGAAAAACTATAATATTCATACTTCTTGAGTTTTATATTTACCTGTTCATGCTGGAGGCCATCAAGCTCATTTCGGTAAAACTGACGGTGACGCGTCGCTGATTTGTACTGAGCGTATCGCACGTTATACCTATATGCAGAATAGCGAATATATAAGTACAAATATTCAGGTTACGAATGAAATATGTGTGTGTACAATTATACCTGTATGCCAACGGATACTGCCCCTCTAAGTCACGGTGCATAAGTAAAGTGGGTCGTCCAATATGAATGCGCTCCCATGACCAAATCTGTATCAACGTACAGCATCCCTTGAATTCTTTATTCTGCATCAGAGATACTCTACTCAATTCTCGATACAAATATGCCAACACCGCACTGCCCCACGATAGTGCCCCGCATACACCAAAATCCTCCAGCAGTGGCAGCCATCGTGCATGTACGAGAGTCTTGCTCGCATCAGGAAATAGTACGCACCCTATCATGTGCAATATGTATGCACGAGCATGAAACTGGAGCGTCTCATCAGAGGCATCCTCTGGTATGTCGCCCTGAAATGTCTGACGAAGCCACGATAGCTTCATCGCACCACTCCTCAAGTCGGGAACCTGTCCAAGTAGCCGGCCACATACCTCCGGCCAACTATGATCGTCGGTGCCCGTAACTACCGGTCCATCAATCCGGAGCCCAAGTATGACGGCCACGTCCTGTAAAGTGATGGTGCACTCCCCTATATGCATGTGAAAGGTGTTGGTCTCTGGCCTCCACCTCTCAATCAAAGCAGTGATAAGCGGCCAATCAAGCCTGATATAACGAATCGTCGAACACGGTCGAAAACCGGCCTGAGCGATCAAAGCTAGTACCCTCTCATCCTCTATGACCCATGCCGAATGACTATGGGAATGCTCGATCATCGTGAACTCTGGTACGGGCTGCACATAAAACGAGAATCAGTTTTAAGTATATTCATTAAAAAATTACATTAATCGAAGAAATATATATCTAATTTATTCGTATTACCTCTCCCGAACCAATATGGTCTGAACAATGACTCGCCTGAAGGTACAAAACGTCGGGATTCTCCGGTCCCGGATCCATAATGAATAGACCTGTGATTAAAATATGAGCATATATACAGAGTGCAATGAACACAGTATCATACATAACACGTATTACAAATAACGAGTGTAAACTGCTTCAAAGATAACAACTACGAATGACATACACGAATGACATAGTGCAAAACGCTACATAATACAAATTCATGGGTGAAATGAACGGAGTTGCATACAGAACATATTACAAATAACGAGTATCATACGCTTCAAAGATAACAACTACGAATGACATAGTGCAAAACGATACATAATACAAATCAACGCCTAATACTAACTGGACACCTATTTTTGTTGTGACCCGGTTGATCACATCTACTGCACTTATTTCTCCTCCTAGCTCCTTCACGTCCGTCATCCATACTATTTCTAATACGCACGGAATGAGGGCGCCCCGCCGATCTTTTATACAATGGAGGTAATATCCGTGGCCCATCTTGTGTCCAATGTCGACTATCGTATGGTGGACGAAAACACTCTTTGTATGGTGTCCAATGTCGACTATCGTATGGAGGTAATATCCGTCATCACGATCTATCACGGTCATGCTATTAATTTGTAATCCCTCCTCTTCATCATCATTCTCGGATTCAACACTTGCATTATCTTCTTGAATTCCCGTGTTAGTATCGAAAGCATTCGAAGTGCCCACGAACGAAGGACCGCTCATGTATTGTGATTGTGTCCAACATTCATCTTGTTGAGGAGATAAAAAGCCTACAGAATCAACTTCAGGATCCTCCAACATGCGGGAATACATTCCTTCGTAGTTCAACGATTTGCCCAAATCTCTCTGATGTTTTTCAATGAACAATTCGACCGAACGCTTCTCGTCGTGTAAGACATGAATGAGACCCATATCGTAGTCACTTGATATTTGAATGCCACTTGTTCTGTTCCCCACAACAGGATAATTGCAAACCACACTGAGGTGATACTCACGTGAGTTAGTTAATGTAAGTTTGTGTAATTCATTAACCAACTCATCGAAAGTACACGATTTTGTTATGAACAACGATCTCGTCGTGCCTCCTTCATAAACGAGCATATTATTTTCGAGGTAATTAATCTTCCCATCATAAGAACAGAGAATTACAATTCGATCGTTCATCGTTACCTCTGAAGAGTGAAAAATTCAATATCAATATTACACGAAAAGCCAAATAAATATTGATTGTTACTAATTTTTACATTTAGGTAGTAACTCTAATTTCCACATTAATTGATAATTTCACCTCTAAATACGCAAAATTATTTAATACGTCTTCACAAAATTCGTAAATAATTCACAATTAAATTCTAAAATCTAATTTATATCATACATATGCAAAAATCTAAAATCTAATTTTTCTTCACAAAATCTAAATAATTCACAATTAAATTCTAAACTCTAAATACAATAATTTTCGAAATTATTGATAATTTCCCCTCTAATTTCACAAAATTATTGATAAATTACACACTAATTCTTCACAAATTTCACAAAAATTATTGATAATTTCCCCATTGATAATTTTCCCTCTATTTTTCACATTTATTGATAATTTTCCCTCTAATTTTCACATTTATTGATAATTTCCCATCTACTTTTCACATTTCTTCATAAAATTCATAAACAATTCATAATTAAATTTTAAAATCTAGATTCTTACATGTAATCACAATCAAATAGTGGGAGTATACAACAATTAGAGAGTATAGCTTTTTTTTGAAATAATTTACCTGTTTTCTGGAGTTGAACTCCCGTGAAGTTTAATTTCTCCATAAACTTCACGGGAGTTGAACTCCCGTGAAGTTTAATTTCTCCATAAACTTCACGGGAGTTGAACTCCCGTGAAGTTGCAGTCACAATTTGCCAGAGACTCGATTCTCTGGAATTGCTGACTGTAACTCCACGGGAGTTCAACTCCCGTGGAGTTTTAAGCAGAAATTACGCTTCACGGGAGTTGAACTCCCGTGAAGTTTAATTTCTCCATAAACTTCACGGGAGTTGAACTCCCGTGATGTTTCGGAGATTTTTTTACAAAAACCGACCTGTTTTCAGCGCTGGGCTGAAAACAGGTCGGTTTTTGCAATTATTATGAAAAGGGGTCGGTTTTTGCAATTAAATGTGTAAAACGGTTGCTTTTGAAAATTTGTCCTGAACAATATTTGTGGGGAATTGAAATAATATTAATTAGGACACCGATTTAAGAACGGATATGACTTTCGTTCTTGCATAACCATTTCGTCAAAGAGTTAATTCATTTACTTATTCGGATCAAAATATAAAAATTGGATGATCGGTTTTTTTTAATCCACGGTTGGATAATCATAAATGTGCCTTAACTTGCACATACAATTATACAAATGCTATAGAAGAGAACATGAATGTGCTTTGTGTCATGTTATAAACTTATAAAGCCAAAGTTATGCAACAACCATGGCATTAATTGTACGACACAACTACTAATTACCAAAATCAATATATCAAATATCCAGTTCCAGACCGCCGTATTCTTGTTTTTTCTGTTTTTGATTTCGTGGCTTTTGTATAAAAATTCGGAAAAGCGTCATCTTAGAAGGACCTTTTGACCAAAAAACCCACCTTAAATTTTTTTGTAATAAATACATTGACATAAAAATTGTCAACATCGCGACTAAAATACATATATAATATTTATGGGAGGGATATTCATAAAGTATTGGAATGATAAAAAGAAGATTGACAACCAAGAAACCTTGGTCCCAAGTTATCCGAGCACGTACCAGGAAAATTCCTAAAATCTCCTCTTTAAATAATGACCTTGTATTTTGCTATTATTCACAAGTTTGCACTTGAAAATATTATCCACTTTTACCCCCTTCCGATTCCCATATAAAGAGCAGTTATTGACTTTATTTGTTATGAATTTCGCAAAGGTCAATCAGTCTTCTTTACTCGCATCACTTTTGCATCAAAAATTAATGAGATTTCTTTGCAAAAAGCTATAGCGGAGGATATGAAGGGGGGTGGGAATAATAGTTCTGGTTTGCATTGGAGTTTTTTGAAATTGTTTGGGTAGAGTTGTTTCTTGACCATCAAAAGGTAGATTCGCCTCTTAAATTAGGATTCACATACTAAAATTTTGATCTCTTAATTACAAAAGGAAATTATGAGAGAAAAGTATTTAGACCACTTATTTTTTAAACTGTTTTAATTTTAATTGATACTAATTAAGAGTTTCAAAATTTTCTAAGTTGTCAAAATTTCCAAGTAGGTATATTATTCAACACATTTATTTCCGCATTTCCCATAAATATTATACCAACTGCCTATATTCTTTTACCAGCTGCAATATTAGTTCTCTGTTCTCGTTGCATTCAAGCATGAATAGCTTGACCTCATATACGTGGATTTTCTTTATTCCTTTTGAAATTTTGCTTTATAATAACTTTGAGAATTGTTTCAGTTTGAGTGAAGACCCCCTTAAATGGTGGGCAGTAGACAATTTTAAAAAAAAAATTATATAGAATATTGTCATTAAAGTGGCATGCAGCTGATCATGCACCGACCAGAGAATTATTTTAGTAGGAGGCATAAATAAAAACTACTAAAAATTTGAGTTACTCATTTAGATTAATTAAACTTAAAAATGGACAGTGAAAGCTTAATTATTCCATAAAGTCTCATTCGTGCAATTAAGGGGTGTTTGGTTCACAATTTTATAGAAAAGATTTCTTAAAGGATAAAATTTTGAAAACACTCATTTTTCAAATTTATATAGCAAAATTGACCTTCTCTGAAAAAAATTTAGCAAAACCGACCATTTTCAGATGAAAATAGCCGGTTTTGTTGCGGAAGAGGTTTTCTAATTGCACGGGACTAGCAGTCCCGTGCATTTTGTTTTCTTTACCCGCACCCATCATCATCGTCAGCCCCGACTTCTCGGCCCAAGCTAACCCTCCTCCCCCTCGTCGCCCACATCTTCTACGACGTCTCTAACGGCCCATTCGGCATCGAGGACTCCGTCCGCTACGGCTGTGGCGCCCCTCCTCTCCGTCGTCGGTTTCCTCCTCTTCCCTCTCCTCCGGTCTCTCCCCAAGGCCCTCATCACCACCAAGCTCTCCTCCCTCTTCCCCTCCAACGACGGATACGTCCTCTGGGTCTCCTCCGCCTTCTCCCCCCCCCCTCTGGGCCTCTAGAAGTGGGCCTCTGGTGCCATCGACAACGCCCTCTACCCCGTCCTCTTCCTCGATTACCTCAACCCCTCCCTCCGAAGAAACCCGCTAATCCTGTTAATCACATCCATCTTAACCTTCATGAACTACCGCGTCCTCCCCATCATCGGTTTCGCTGCCGCTATAGCTCTCGCCGCCTTCCCGCTGTCGTCGTTCGTCGTAATGTTGGTGTTGGCGTTGCTGAGGGTGAAACACAGCAGGTGGGTTAGGGTTGATGTTAGTAATTAAGCTAGAGTGGAGGGGTTACTTTAACAGGATGTTTTGGATTGAAAAGAAAATGAAATGCATGGGACCGCTAGTCCCGTCCATTTCAAAAATCTCTTCCGCAGCAAAACCGACCCTTTTCATCTGAAAAGGGTCGGTTTTGCTGATATTTTTCAGAAAGGGTAGATTTTGCTATATAAATTTAAAAAATAGGTGTTTTCAAAAATTTATCATTTCTCAAAATGTCTGACAATGATAATTCTGTAATTAAAATTTTTTTATAGATTTTCGTAAATTGTGTTTGGTCCAAGAAAAATTTATAGAAATATTTTCTATAAAGTACAAAAAAGTACCAAAATTTAAAAAATTAATTTTCTATCAAAATAGGCAGAAATCACCCAGAAATCCAACATCATATTGACATGTTTCTATAAAGTTAATATTTTTTATAAATTTAGGGGGTGTTTGGTTCAATTTATACAAATTATAGGAAATCTTGCTATTTTTAATAAAGTTATGTGTCATTTTCTTGTTTTGAACCAAAAGCAAAGATAAAAAAACCAAGAAAAATTGTACTTTTTGACTTCTCAAAACTTTATCTATAAATTTTTAAGAAATACAAGGAAATCATATTTTGAATGGAAAACATTTCCAATAATTTATAGAAATTGAACCAAATACCCCCTAAGCATCACTAGTGGATAAGTTGGTGTAAAGAGAGAGCTTAAGGGGGTTCGTATTCATTAGCCAAAGACCGACCGTTGTAAATTATTGTTCATCGTTCAATATTCAATTCTCGGATCGAAACAAGCGGAAATTTTGAAGGCACTACCTACGCCGTTTTTTCTTCTTTTTTTTAAAAAAGGTTTTTTTTGCATAATAAAAGCCTTTTATAATTGTTAAATAATTATTATAAAAATATTACACATGTGATGATGACAAGCGGGTAACAAGTTGCGCCGCTAATCCTTTCTGAATTGCAAAACCTAACCTACGAAACACATACTCAGCGGACCCTGCTATCGCCATATTCTTATTCGCGAATTTCTGAACCCTCCTGAGGAACTCCACCGCATCAGCTGCAAGGAAACCAAATGTGTCGAAAGCGAACGGGATGAAGCTGTGATGGTTGTCCTTGCAAGCTTGATCATGTTTGCCCACCTTGGCCTCTGCTGCTCTATCCGCTGCATGCCCAACCTTGAACTCTCCATTACCAAACCCCACCAACGGAGACACCCCTGTAAATCAACACAAGCATGCTTCCCCCCGCTCCAACTGTAGACAAGAACGTTTGCCGGCCTTAGAGTAGATCTAGTCTCTCCAGGAGGAGTGAGGAAGTTGACCGGCGCTTCCTTCTTTGATGGGATCCCTGCTCTCTGGAGGATATCATACAAGACATCTCTGACTAAGTCGTGCCTGTACTTGAACCCCGGCTGCTTCTGACAATGGATGGCATGCTCTCCAAAAGCATCCATCTGCGTCCTACGACAAACTGGACACATTATCCCCTCCACGAATAAAGGAACCAACAACCTGTACCTAAGGATGGCTTGGTATTCCCCCAGAGTCATACGCTGCCCCAAACCCTCAATAGGCATGGCCAACAAGAAATCCTGGGCGTGCTTTGCCCGCAGGCACTCAACAATCGCAAACCTACCTCTCTGAAAGGTTAAACTCTGTCGATAAATCTCTACAAATGCCACCATA